TTTAAGTTTTTTTGTGTAATGAAAAATAAAATGAGACCATGTAAGGTCCTTTTAGATAATGACAATGACGCTGCTCTGAAGCCCATTCTTTTCAATGGCAAGTGTAGCGCAAGAATGTTGCTTTATTCCAGCAGGAATTGAATTTATGTTCTAACAATGAATTGTCCAGTTGCATACTAGAATCAGTATCCACCACCTCCCTTCTTTGTTGGTTCTCAAAGTCATTTAGAGAGAGCAGGTGTGTTTTTGTGGATATGTGGGGGTACTGACACACACAGGTTTGCGTCAGTATTCGAAGGCTGATTTGACTTGATTTCTCTGGAACCACAGTTTAATTTGCTGTTTACCCAATGCTGAGAATGTAAAGTGCATAATTTGATGATTCATCCATATATGAATGCTTTAACTAACTTTTAGCCAGAATTGGAAATCTCTTTAAGCTCCGAGCTGTATTGCGGACTGCAACGAGAAAAATCAAAGCTACATCATGAATAGATATTCTTAAATTAGTCATGCTGGGTCAGTGTAGAAAGGACCGTGCTCTGATGCTTGTATCTTTTTTGCATCAGATAGAAATTATTTCTAACATGAAACAGGACTCTCTTTTTCTCTCACAAAACTGATGTTTCTTTTTTCATCCTCTTGATCTTTTTCCATTTAATGGCAAACACCCCCCTTCAGCACAGCATTATCACCATCAGCTGAACAGAAGTGATTCTGTGCTTTCTGAGCTTGAATCTATGAAACAGACACAGTTGTTATATAACAGCTTAAGCTAGAAACACCAAAGTGACTTGAGAACATAGCATCACTGAGATTTGTCATTCTTATTATCACATATGTGGTGGTCTGTGTTTTTCTGTGTGAACGCTGTTGTTAGTCTTGTAACTTTTCAAATTATTTTTCAGTATCAGAAGGAAACAGAACATTCCGTTATCATTTGAGAGGGCGTTATCACCTCCCGCAAAATAGATTAGATACGTCAAATTGAGCCAGAAAGTGCTGAGACAATGCAGATTTCCACTCCAACGAGAGCCTAATTTAATTGATTATTTCCTCTACATCAGAGAAATCACTTGCTGTCATCATTGGTTTGAAGCCCTGCAGCTTCACAGCAACATCTGCTGAATGACAGGCTCCTCACTTGTTTCCTTTTCTTCCTTCATTTTCCTCTCGGATTAATGGAAAAACACCAGAAAATACAAGATATGATGTACCGCAGTGTTAAACAGAAAGACAGCTCACTCAGCAGCCCACTTTCTTTTTAGACCACGGACAGGCACTAGTGAGAATACATGTGCTCGTGTGCATATTTTCTTCATCAAGCTCCCTTGCTACTGCTCCTGTTTTTAATTTGCTGTTGCACGCTTCCAAGTTTCCCCATGGGAATCAATAAACCTATATTTTTTATTCAAAATATATGCAAAACACTTGTCTATGCTTGTGCTTTAATTTATGTAGATTCATTTAATCCACTTGTGCATGAATCCAGTGTATGTTTGCTTGGAGATACCTAATAGACCTGGTGCCCATAGTAACATGAGGTTTGTTTGTGTCATCTGTTTAAGCAGCGATGAAGACAAAACAGCAGCGAAGTGTTTCAGCTCTTTGGGCCCTGGTGAAACTTGTAAATGGTGCTGATGCAACAAAAGGAGACACAAGCAAAAAATATATAACATATTTGAGATTTGAGGGGAAGTGATAAGAGAAGAGAACAGGTATGAGGAGAGAAACAGAAAAGGGGAAGAAACGGAAGAGGAGAGAGATAGAAATTTGTGGAATAAGCTCACTATTAGTGATAACAACAAACCAACCAAACCTTTATGCCATCTTTTAATTTGTCAAAGATAACCAACTTCAAATGTCAAGTTTTGAGATTAATTAAGCAGTTTTGCTCCAAAAATCTAATATACTTAATTCATATAGACAAAGGGGAGTGGAAAATAGAGAATAGAAGAGATGAAGCGATGGCATGAAATAATGGCAGATGAAGTGGAGAGGAGGAGGCAGATGGGAATAAATGGGTCGCACAAAAGCCATTCCATCAACAGCCCTGAGTGGGAAGAAATGAAGGAATAGGAGAAATAGAGAAGGAGGATGAAATATATGTTTGGTTTGGGTCCACTCATAACTGGAATAGACTTGTTCTGCTGCAGCTGGGATAAGGAATGTACCCATCTAAGAGAAGGGTATTAAGGCTAAGGCCAATAAAAAGTGAAAGCACCACCAATGGGAGTTTTCTGGGATTGCCTGGAGTTTCCCTTTAGTTTTCTATAAGACACAGCATCAAAGCATTATCTCTATTTGCTTTGATAAGTAGAGTTACATTCAGAAGAGTGCACCTCCAGTTGAATCTAATAACATCCAGTAGCTATTTATAAGCAAACATACCAGCCAAATGAACAGGACATATATCATCACTACAAGACAAGTCAAACTAAAATGACACAAATCAATCTTGGAAAAAGAATGAGTTTGGCCCATGTCCCATCTGCTTACATGGAGGGGGCAGAGCCTACACTGCAGTCAGACACCAGGGGCGGTAGAGATGTTTTGGCTTCATTTTAGTGGAGCTGTTATGTTATGTCCATCTTGATGTTCAGTCCATGGTCCCCTCCTGTCAATGTCACTTACATGTGATTGGCCAACAAGCCTCCCCCTCTCTTCAGACAGTAGATCAGAGGTTATAATGGGAGAGGATGAAATCACTTTGACTGACCAAGCCTGTGTATTGAGGCACTTGGTGCGACAGTGATAAATGTCCCCAGTGAAACGCAGAGGCTAAGTGTGTAAACACACAGAGAGCAGGTCTGTTCCTATTATTTGGGCTGTCACTTTCGTTAGCCTCACTTTCTCACATCAATTAGAGGTGGTGTCTTCCTGAAAGTGAAAATCCCCAGCTCTTTCATTGTCATGTTTATTCCATTTTTGACTTTCTCTGTTACCTTTTTCTGCTGCTCCCGTTCTTCTCTTTTCTATTTGGACTAGGACGTCAGATAAATAGAAAATCATGTCAAATTACTTTATAGATATTTTTACATATTTAATTTTGTCTACCAAATAACCCATCTGACCTCGACCTACATGCCACCAAAGATTCAGTTATGGATATGGAGACAAAATCAGTTGAAGACAAATCACGCTTCAAGTAAAATATAGAATAATCTTGCTCAGAGTGCACTGTCAGCCTTGTTCTCTGTTTTTCTCCCTTCTTTCCCATCATCCATTTCCGCTGTAAGTCTCTTATCCTGTCTTCTCCAACATCTTAGCGACATTCTCAGCTCCTCAGTGAAGCTTTGAGGTTTGTGTTGAGTCACCCTTTTCTCCCCACACACACACACACACACACAAACGTACTTCAGTCTTAGTCAGGACACTAATAGACATAATACATTCCCTAGCCCCTTACCCTAACCTTGACCATTCAAAATAGATGCCTATCCCTAAAACAAAGTCGTAACCCCCAAACAGCCGATTGCAAAAGGGAGGACTGGTCGAAATATCATCCCTTTCCAAAAATGTCTTCTCTCTGTAGGGTCTATGCTTAATTTAGGTCCCCACAATGTGAGTAACCTGGACCACACACACATACGCACACTATATGCACACAATTGATGCACGGCTGTGTTGATCTGTAACTGTGTACATTTGTGATGAAGGATGTGGTCTCTTGTAAGAGAAAATGTTGTCATATACAGACTGACATCCCTCTGCCTGACAAACATAACTGAGGGTTCACTTGAGCCAATGCAAATGGTTGCTGCGTGCATTTCATCCAAAATGACTGTCTCACTGCTGAGTGACATTTTGAAAACACCATTCATCAATGTAAATCCAGAGTTTGTGAGGGTCTTATGCAGTTTTACACAGTCTGATTTTGACCTGCAAAGTTCCTGAATTGCAAAAGTGTGAACATTGATGTTTTATCACTGTTCAGAACTCACAAGGACTTGTCTTTAACTGGGGGACTTGGTGTATGAATAGGAAACAGGGTTGCTTAAGGTTCACTTGGCTTCTGAAAGTCGAAATAAAAATGTCCAAAAAGAAGAGACTCGACAAAGGAAAAGAAAAACCATCAGGGGAGCGAGGCCATGGCCAGTGCTTTCTGAAAAGATAATAGAGGAGGAGGCAGAGGGCAATGAAGAGAGGAGGGCCTGAACAAAAACAGGAGTAAACTTGAAGAAAAATTGAGTGAAATACTGAAAATAAGAATGATAAATTAAAAAGAAAAAATAGTCAGAGACATAAAGGAAGAGACAGGCAGGGATTTCTTCAAGACCAAATTGTCCATAGGAAGTATAAGCATTCAATAAATGAAACCACAATCAATCCAATAGAATAGTATATAAACATGATTGTCAACCCCAGAAAAATATATAGTATTATAATATATATATTATGTCACCTTTGACACTCACTCGAAGTGGATTTGCATGTGTGTGACTGTTATATCCCACTTTAATTTGTTGATGCTGGTGTGTACTAAGGTCCTTCCACAGCTCTCAGCAGCTCACTGTGAGAACATCAGTAATTATTTTGTTGGTTTTAATGATGTTTCTGCTGCTGCGTCTCTGCCACTGAGGAGGTAATTGAATTTGTTAGAATACTGTGAAAATTACCAGGCTGAGTTCTCCAAGATATTTATATACGTTTTGGCAATAACCAACACTTCTCATTCAATTAATTCTGCCACAGCAGTAGAAATAAAATTAGCAATTTCAAAATTGCATTCAGTAATTAAGTTGTCATATGAACTTGAATGAACACTGAAGCAATCTAGGATTATTGTAGTTTGGGGTATTCATTACCATTTGGTCCCTTTGGTTGGGTGGGTGGTGGGGTTGTTGGTTGGGGGGGTGGTTGCGTAACAGGCAAGGGAATAACAAAACATGATTGAGTAGTAAGGTGTGATGCACAGTTACTAACGCCCTACACTATTTGGAATTCAACATCTCATTTGATTGTAATTTCTCCATTTTTGCTTCGTCCCTCTCTTTCAGGGGTCCGATGGGTAGCCCCAAGACTGGCATGCAACAAGGAGGCCATGGAGGAGGAATGGTTGGAATGGGTGGAATGGGAGGAGGAGGAATAGGTGGAGGAGGAATGGGTGGAGGAGGAATGGGAGGAGGAGGAATGGGTAGAGGTGGAGGAATGGGTGGAGGAGGAATGGGTGGGGGAGGAGGAATGGGAGGTGGAGGAATGGTTGGAATGGGAGGAGGAGGAATGGGGGGTGGAGGAGGAATGGGCGGAGGAGGTATAGGGGGGATGAGAGGAGGAGGGATGGGGGGAATGGGTGGAGGAGGAATGGGAGGTGGAATGGGTGGAGGAGGAATGGTTGGAGGAGGTATAGGAGCAGGTATGGGTACTGGTGGAGGAATAGGGTCCAGAGGTGGCGAGCCCTACCGCCTGGCCACTCACGAGACTCCAACTTCCCCCCGACACATGCAGTCCAGCCAGGGGTCTGGTCATGGGATGGGTCACAGTCCTGCCGCGTCCGGTATGGGAGGCCATGGAGGTCAGAGTCCTGGTCAGCACGCATCCCGTCGAAACCTTCAGGTCGACTTCAGTGGCTCCAGGACTGGCCGGTCTCCATCGGTGTCTCCTGACCGCAGTGTGACGCCCACCTCACCTTACTCGGTGCCACAGATCGCACCTATGCCGAGCAGCAAACTGTGCCCAGTGTGCACCAGCACAGAGCTGTCCAACCCACCGGCTGTACCCAACTACAACACCTGCACCCAGTGTAAGGCCACCGTCTGTAACCAGTGTGGATTCAACCCCAACCCACACCTCACTGAGGTAAGTCAGGATTGACAAGGAGCTGAGTGTGTTCATCTACGTCTCTGTGTGTATTTGCCTCGTTTTTGTCTCATGTCTGTCTTTACTTTTCCACAGCAAATACATGCAACAAGGTAAAATTGCAATCAGTAATTGTGCTGATTTATAGTGAGAGACAAGCATTTGGATATGCATGTAAGCTAATCCTATGGGTGGACAGAGGTCAATGTCAGTTCATGTTTCAGTATTTGATGATAAACAACAGGAAAACTGAATAGTTGGAGTCTAGAAAAAAGGTTTTGTTGAAACAAACAGGATAAAGATTTCGTCTGGCCTATTGTGAGAGTGTGCGAGGGAGAGGAGAGAGATGTTTTGCTCAGGCATTTTTATTTTTTATGACTTGATACGGAATTGCATATATTTTCCTATGTCTTTTAATTTAAACAGGGAATCATTTATATAAAAGAAAATACATGAATGAGCAAAATAATGAAAGCATATAGGCTGTGTGTGTGTGTGTGTGTGTGAGAGAGAGAGACTTTGTACTGCAGTGTGTATTTGTGATAGACAGGAAGTGTAAAGACTCAGCAAGTGGCAGTAATTTCTTCCAGATGCACTGACAGAATTCCCATTAATATGCCAAGGCAAGACACACTGGTCTGGACTGTGTGTGTGTGTGTGTGTGTATTAAAAAACAAAAGAACCTGGAATTCAAAGAGAGATGGAGAATAAAAGAGACTGAGGAGTGTAACTGTAAAGTTATTCAGAGTTGGATGGAGGGATGAGAAGGAGAGAGAAGGTTAAGAGACTCTCTGATTGAGAGGAGGTCGACACTCCCCTTTGTTGATGAGTTCAAACTATCAGTCGGGTGTCAGGGTCTGGTGACAAATGTCAAGTCCCGGCTTCCTTGTGCAGGCAGGAAAGACAGGTACACAACCACACGACACACAGAGGCACAAGATATATGAGTGATACATTAGCCATGCACACACTGATTCTCGCTCATGTCAGGTTCAGGGGCTTTTCTTTGGCAGGCGGCAGGATAAACACTTGGTTCTGGTAAACAAACAGCTGTGCCTGTGTTGTTGTGTCTCATTTTCATTTGCTCTTGTGGTGGAGAACATTGGCCGCAGTGTCATCCGTGTGTACCTGGTACAGTCGATGTGTARACACACACACACACACACACACACACACACACACACACACACACACACACACACACACACACACACACACACACCAGTGTGCACAAGTCAGTGTGCAAGCAGTATTGTTTAAATTAAATAGACTAACATGGTGACGGACCAATAGTGCGTAAATATTAATTTAAAAAGTCAATGTTGTATTAAGATGGACTCAGCGGTGGATGAGTATAATTGTTGCGAGTACCTGCCTTTTGCTAATGTTGTGTTTGGAGTTTGACATCAGGCTAAAACACTTGTAGGGTTAATATCATACAAGTATCAGATCTTAATGAACTACAACATGGTACCTTCTATAGCTTGATACTGTCAAAATAATCTGAATTGTACCATCAACATGGAACCGAAATATTGATTCTTATGACATTTGGTATTCACAGTATGACAGATTCTGTCTAAACTCATCATCTTTAAGACGCAGTTTTTTTATCTCTGCTCATGTTCCTGCACATGTGGTTGTGTCTGTGTGAGTGTGAGAGAGAGAGACAGTGAGGGAGAATCTACAGTGTTTAATAATGGTGGATAATGCTAATGATGAGGAGGGAGGACTTGATAAACCTCTAAAGCAATCACTAGTTCCGATATGTAGACACCCACACAAACACAGTGACCCCCAACTTGTGGCTTAATATAATTGATGCAAGAAGCTTTTACAATAAATTGTGATGTTGATTAAATGAATGAACCCACAGGAAAATGAAAAACATATAATGGACTGCAACAAATCAACATAACATTTAATCACTGTAGTTAAAAAAAAGAAAAAATATTAATTCATTATTTTCCCAGAACAAACATTAAATCATAAAATTGGAGGTTTTGCTTTCAGACTCCTCCATCTTGTACAGATTAATAAGACGGTCCTGCAGTTGTTTGGTTTTGTATAAATTATGGATTAGCCGTTTTTTCCAATTAACATTTACTATCCTCTCAATTTCTGTCCTTGCTAATCAATGTTCTCTCAATCCTGGTTGCCTAATAATCAGTGCCTACCTGTAAACACTGTTCCCCTGGTGTATTCAGCTGACTATTATTATTATTATAAGTGTATTAGCTCAACAGCTGTAAAAGGAGTAAATCGCTCTACCATGTTACATATGTTTTTTTTACTCTACTAAGTTTGCTATAATATTGAAATAAACCTAAAAAGCTTGCACATTTTGGGGAATTTCTCTTAAATCTACCCAGACAATTTAATGGAAGCTTCCTTTGTGTTTACACTTGTGAATTCAAATATAGTAGAAATAAGAATATACATTGTTAGTGATGTTTTGCACTTTTTAAGATAATTTACACTAACACATAAATATGAAAACATTGCAATATCCTCTGAGCAAACGCCCTCAGTTGTGTGTGACAGAGCTCCAGCCTTGTTGTGTTAATAGTTAAATTGAACATTATCCCATATGATCACAGTTAATCATTGTTTTGTGTGCCCTGATAATTGAATAAGCAGCGGCAGGCTCTATATCCATTATACTGTGATCACATTCCATTTGCATCTGATAACAGTTAGCAGACTTAGCCAGACAGGATAAAGAGATTATTTTATATTAACAGGTCTGAGATGTTTATTAACGACACAGAGCACAGAGTTACATGAAGTCCTGGCATACTTCATGTTTAAATGATAATGACCTAAAGGAAAATTCTCTCTTGATGTCAAATGATGATAAAATGTCCACCCGGCGCCTTATAGAATCATAGAATAATATCTCAACTCAGCTTCCTCATTATTACTAAAACCCCTCCATCTTGGTTTTTTATTAACACGGACACATCCACGTCCATATCTTGTTATAATCCTGACGCCTTTTTCATCAGATAACCTTAAGCAGGCTGAGGAGGGTGACACCAATTATCAGGCCAAAAAGTAGGATCAGAGACAGATTATAGTCGATGTGTTTGATTCAGGAAGGGTGGTATTTAGGTAACATGGCTTTCATGTTGTTAATTTAGCTGTGAGTGTGATTAGTGGAATGTCAGGCACTGAAATATACACATATTATTTATAGGTTTTGGCTCTCATGTTGAATTTGGACACCACGGTTGCCTGCATGCAACAGTGGCACTGGCAGCACGGTGGTGAGGTAGTCAGCAGTGTCAATGTATGAATCTTGGTTCAGCCATGATAGCTTTGTCTGCGTGAATTTTCCAAAGACGTGTAGATTGGGGTGAGGTTAATTGAAGACTCTAACCTGACCATTGATGGGAATGTGAGAGTGAGTGGTTGTTTGTCTCTATGATATGCTGCAATATCGCCCAATGTCAGCTGGGATTGGTTCCATCTCACCCTGCGAGCCTCAATAGAAAGGCTGTACAGATAATGGATGGATAGAGTTCCTGGGGTCTTAGGAAGTTTGGGAGCTAATGGTGAGATTGTACATTGGTGATGCTTGGAAACCTTATTTTAACACACAATTTCAGAAATGTGTTGCAAAGCCTCTCAACATCAGTGCGACAAATCAAATGGAGGTACGACTTTAATCCACAGATTTATATACATTTTTTCCTGCAGACATTTTAACAAAGTAGGAAAAGGACAGGTGTTACTGAAATGGTTTGTTCAGATCAAGCATCCCAGTAAGAAATGACCGTATGCCAGCATAAACAATGCGACCCTGAGGCTGAAGCATCAACATTTAATTCATCTGTGAAAAACTTTTTTCTCTTAGCCCTGTATTTTGACAAAAAAAGGGAAAAGTGTTCCAAAATGTCTGATGTGAAAAAGGCTGATTCAAGTCGTTCAAAGTCAGTGCCTGTGGGATCTTTATCAACCTCTAAACAAGTAATTTTTACTGATAGAATATTCTTTAAACAAACCTTGTGAAATCTAGACAACCATTTGGCACATAGTCACTTGAAGGGTGTTTTGGCCGTGAACCAGATGGAAGCTTTTTTATTTGATGTGTTTTGTGGGTAAGATGTGTTGGTTTTGTCACTTTCACACCTTAAAAGGATAAGACCCTGAGTGTTACAGCTCTCATTAATATGGATGAGGGGTGCTGAAACTCCCACACACCATGTTTTTGCAATTCATTTATATGAGTTATTCATTCCTTAAAATAATACACCTGGGGAACGTGCCACAAAGTCTCAGTGTGGAAGTTCAATCTAAACGGTGGACGTGTTCCTGATGCTCCGCAGTTGAGATAAAACTTTGTTTTCCTAATTAACCATGGCCTTTAAATGTTTTGTGCATGGCAGTTGCTCAATAATACCACCCACTCTACACACTCACAGCTGGAATTTTAACCAGCAACCATTTTATCAAATTCCCTAATTTGCATTGCATTGTTAATCCACTGGGGTTTTTTGTTGAACAGATTTCTAAGCAGGGAGACAGACTTGAGGTCATTGGTTGATGTTGGGCTCATATTCTGTTTTGGTGGCAAAAGCTGTTAAGGCAAAGCTGGGTTGTTTAAAACATGAATGAATCCATATATTGATATCTACCTTTGTTACGGAGGCATTTAAGAAAGTGGAAGGTCAACAGGTTAACTACATAACTAGATCACATGACTCAGTTAATAGCAGAGCACTATTATTCTTTTACCTCTCTTTGTAAAATGTTATGTGACAACTTAATAACTGATATTACAACAAAGAAGTGTTCTGTGTTGCTTTTGTTGTTCTGGTTTTGGGCGAACTGCAGACATGATCGTGACAACACTATAGCACAAGTAAACAAATAAATGAATCACAGTGTGCACATGAGTGCAGCTGCAGGCTGTTATTGATGACTGTATTATTGATGCTATTTAGTTTTGTTGTTGTTCACACTTACTTGATCTTGGCCCACGTGTCTCTTATCCA